GAAGTAAACAACACAGCTATTACAGATGCCAGCAATAGCTCCACGACACCAGAGCAGGGCTGATACATGCAGGAAACCGTGCCTGAAACAGAGGTCAAGGATGCTCTGCAGCTCTCAGAAGCCAGTGAAGAGGCTGAGAGGGAGGTGGCAATTCAGAAGATGCTCCTCTCTAGGGCTGTGCTCAAGAAAGAAGCTCAGTCCTTGGTTTTCTAGCTGGTGCTTTTGCCCACAAAGCCAGAAACAGGCCAGAAATGTTTGTGTCATGACATTCAGGCAGGTTTTGGTAGGCCTGAGAACACCACAGCTGAGCAAGAGCACATGAGAGAGATGAAGAAGAAAGAGGCACCGAACCCACCAGCTGTGTCCATGCTCCAGTAGAAGAAACAGCCACAAGCATAGACCCACATCCCACCAGCCCTCTGGCCAGCCTAGAAGTGTGCCTGGCCTGGGCCTGCCCAGGAGGAGCCCCATCACCAGTGCTCCTGCTCCTGGTCTGGTCGAAACACCTGGCCAGGCCAGGAAGGAGCAGAGAGGACTTCTCAGAAGGAGAAATGAGGGACCAGAAGCTGCTGCATCACACCACCAGCCCAGCATGAAAGATGACCCTTTAGGTGCTCCATGCCCAGAGCTGGGGAGAAGGAGCCAGTCCCAGTACCAGCCATCCCCCAGAACATGCCCTGATGCCCTCAGGGGAACTGCAAAGTCCAACCTCCCCAGCCCCAGATGAGCAGTACAGGCACCAAAACCACACCCACCCCTGTCCCTGGGAGCACACAGAGGCTTTACCAGGACAGGCAGTTCCACACCTTCTCCTCATCGGGGATTAAAGGAGTATTTGGCCTTTCCTGACTCCAGGAGAGGGAGACACATCTGGAAACGAAGCACTGGCGAGGAACAGGTGCTGGGGGTGGAGGAAGGAGAAAGGCAGAAGCACAAGCAGGCTCAAACACGAGGAGGAAGAACCCTCCTGTGAGGGAAGGTGCCGGCAGCGCTGCTGTCCGGGACACCTGCGGTCCCCAGCGGGGGCAGGAGCAGAGGGGGACCTGCCACACGGAGAGGCAGGAGGTGGCTTTTGAGGGGAGGTTGACGATGATTGATGGTGCTGTGCTGTGTTCTCACTGATGTAGAAAATTAGAGAGAGAGCGCTTCAGATCCCGGCCCATCTGAGACACTTGTTGTGTCCATCTCCCGTACACAGCTCCTCTCCTGGGAGCTCTCCCTCTGGCTTGTAGGCTCATTATTCAAAGTGCTGAACTGGGAAAAGCAAAGCTATTTTATTCTTACTCTTTTTTCCCCCCACCACTGCTTTGATTGTATTATTCTTGAGAACACATAACGTGCTGATTTCCTTGCTCAGCTACTTGAGGGAAAGTTTGTTTGAGCCTCCTTGACTAGGAAAAAGTAGCCCTTCACTTTTTTACTTCTCTCTTCAAACAAGGCAGGGAAGAGCCCCTCGGAAAGGTAGGAGCTATTTTTTTTTCAGATGGAAATAGCCTCTTAAACAAGAGTGAGTCATGCTCCACACCGGGATGGATCTGATAGCTGGTAACCACAGTGAGCACTGATGTTCTGCTAATGGAGCCTTGTGCTATTGTCCTCCTGGCAGGATAGTCCCTTCTTGCCTTCCTCCCCCTTTGCCATTTAACCAGCTCCTGGTTTATTGTGGCTGCTTTTGTCCCTCCACTGCATCTCTGCTAGATGACAAAAGAGTTTTAAAACCATCTTAAAGTGGGTTTAAAAAAAAAATCCTTGTACGCTTCCCTATGAATTGATGAAGCCGGTGGTCTAGATCACCACAGACAGGCTGCTGGGCCTTCAGGAGGTGTGTCACACCACAGATCAGGACACTACTGGGCCCTTGCCTTCAAACAATGCTGTCCCTCAGTAGCAGGCAACCAGTTTCTTCCCAACCAGGCACAGTTTGCATCCCTTTAGTCCCAAGATTACCAAGCTGGTCTAGAAATGGTAGAGGAACCTCTTTAACTGTTGCCCAAAGAATTCCAAACAGGCCCTACAGTCCTACTGTAGCCAATCACCTTCTTCAGACACCCCAGAAGCTCCCAGGCACCTTCACCAGTCCAGGGAGCAGCACAGGCTCTTCCACTTGTCTAGAGGAGACTGATGAAGAGGCTGGATGTAGGCACGCCCACCTCTGGAAAGGGCAGGGAAATAGTTCATTTTCCTTCACAACTCCAAACCCAGCCCCTGGTTTCCTCCTGACAGCTCTCCAGCTTGGGGCAGCTGGGTTTGTTCCCACGGCAAAAGGACAGGTTTCTTTTTTAGCTCCTGGGTATCTCAAGGCTGGATTCAAAATTTCCCTGCTTCAAAACCTGCCACCAAACACAGACGTCCTTGGCTCCTGAACGGGGAAAAGCTCCTCCCAAAAAGACAGCAGCTAAAACCAACCCTGCTTGGCTCCTTTGTTGAAAGGACACTGATGCCCCCAGCTGCAGCCCTGCCAGCGCTCTGAGCTTCCCTTGGGTCACAGCACACGAGGGCTGGCACAAAGCAGCTAACACCAAACTCAAGCCAAAGCCCAAAGCACTCAGAAAATCCCTAGAGGAAGGACAACTTGGAACAAAGCATCCTTTCCCTTCCTCCCACGTCCACCAGAGCCTGAACCTAGCTCGTGTTACCAATTTGCCCAATGGTGGTTAATCATCTGCCCTCTGAAAATCCCTTCTGGGGGTGCAGAACAAATCCTAACACATCTCCCCCTTTCTCCATCTGCTAATGGCTTCCCTCCACCCAGGCTGAGCCTCCCCCAGCCTGAGCTAATGGTAGGAAATTAGCATTAGAATGATAGTTTGCTATTAGCAGTGCCTCAGCTCCCCTCCACGCTCCAGGAACAGCAAATGACAGGCTGCCATTTCCCCGCTGCGACGCAGGGGAGAGGGAACAACGGCAGCCAGAAGCGCTGAAGATACCCAAGGAAAGTTTTAGGCTCATCTCTCCCAGCCCAGCAGCCCTTTCCCTTCGCCATCCCCGTCGTGCTCATCCACCGCACAGGCAATCCTACAAACAGATGGCACCTGGGCAGGAAAGCAGACAAATTGGCTCCCACCTGCAGGAGCACTAAGAGCTTTCAAAGCAGACAAGCACTCGCTCGCCAAGAGCCCCGCGGCGTGGAGATGCCGGAGGAATCTGCCGTCGCTCGCCTTCCTCCCTCCTGGCCGCTCCACGGCCCCTGCTCCATCCTTGCCTGGTTGCAGGCAGGCAGCTGGCTCCTCCCGGGAGCTGGTGGCAGGAGGGGACGGTCGCTGTGTCCCGAATCAGGCGCCTGGAAGAGGCAATTCAGGCTGAGCATCAACGGGGCGATGCTTTGTGTCAGCACAATGCTCCGGTTTGGAGGGCTCACAGATAGCCTGGAGCGAGAGGGTTTTCTTGGGTCCCCACTGAACATCCATCTGCTCGCCGAAAAACCAGCTCAGCTCAAGCTGCCTGCTCTCTCCTCCTGCCAAAGAGGGGGTCTGCCCACCCAGAAACCTCCCCTCCTTGACCAGATAGCTGTGGCAAGAGCATGGAGAGACTCATTTCATTTTCTGCCCACCTGGCTGAAAGCTCCTCTGCACATCAAGGCCAGGGAAGCAGCTCGGGTACCTCACTGCAGAAAGCCAAGAGGCAGGAGAAGAGCTCAGCAAATTCATGGCTGTCAGGGCAGGCTGTCATCTCTTTGGGTACCTGAGTGACCCTGCAGAGTTACACAACTCAGAGATGGTGAATTCCTGCTTGCAGAGCCCCAGAGCTCTGGTCACCTGCAGCAGGGGAGGGGGACACAGCGAGGCTGAGACGTGCAGGAGCACCTGGGTGCTTTCAGTGCATCTTATGTGGAGCCATGCACAACACCTCTGAAAAATTCCCATCAGAATTACATTTTAAGCTCCCTGGGTAAGGTCAAACTGGTGGCCAGTGACAGGACCCAAGGGAACAGCATGAAACTCTGTCAGGGAAAGTTTAGGTTGGCTATTAGGAAAAGGTTCTTCCCCCAGAAGATGGTTGGGCACTGAACAGGGTCCCCAGGGCAGTGGTCACAGCTCCAAGCCTGACAAAGTTCAAAAAGTGTTTGGACAATGCTCTCAGGGACATGGGGGGATTGTTGGGGTGTCCTGTGCAGGTCCAAGAGTCGGACTTAATGATCCTTGTGCATCCCTGGATATTCTGTGATTATATGAAACAATCCCCTCCCCTCCACCTGGATCAGCAAGCAATGGCAAGTGCCCTCCAGCCCCAGCCTGCCAATTGCCTCCTAATAGAGGCCTAGGAGGTGGGATGCAAAAGGGAGAGGAAAAAGGATGGTAGTAAAAAGCAGGATAAAACAGTTTCCCCCTTCCCTTGCACTCCCACCAGCAGCTGAGACGTGGGAGCGAGGAGAGGGCTCGTCTGATGATGGATGGCAGGGAACTGATCCTTGGTAAAGGCGGAACAGGAGCAGAAGGAAGCGCTGCTCCCAAAGGCGATTCTCACACCTCCTCGGGATAAGAAAAACAACCATCAGAGGCAGCAGGAGCTCTTCTCCCTGCACGTTTGGAATTCATCTCCAGCCTGTCAGGGGGGCCACGGTCCAACCGCGCATTTGTATATTCACTGAGCCGTACCCCCGGCTCGGCACACTCCTGACAGATGCAGATGGGAAAGCCATTTTTCATAAGGTGAGGAGAAAAGGGAAAAAAAATAAAAATAACAAAGAAAGGCTCGGGCATCAGCTGGAAAAGATACAGCAGGTTCAGGGCTAAGAGAGAACCAGAGCCAGATTAAACTCTTGGATCTTTAAGCGCGCTGAGAGGCTGGTCCCCTTTGCCTGTTTTCTGGCATGGTGTGGCAGCAGCAGCAACAACAACCTTTGTCCTCTCCTCCATAACCAGCTAGAAAATGAAGGCTGGGCCCAGAACAACACTAAGCTGTGCTGAACCAGCCCTTGGGGACAGAAGCTGGCAGAGGGGCTGCCGGAGCGGGTGGGCACAGACACACTCTGCAAGATCAGCTGCTGTTCAGAGAGGTGAGAGACAGCCTGTGGGGGACATTACCCATTACCATGTGTAAGTCTGCCCCTCAGACCCTGACCTAGCTCAGACCTGGCCCCTGAAGAGCACAAATGGTCTCTGAAGGGACATCCCTGGCAAAACTGCTGATGATATAAGTGTGCCAGCACGGCAGAGGAGCACTCTGAGCAGCACTGCCATGATGGCAAACACGGCAGCTTCCCGTGGCCCTGGCTTCTCTCAGACAGTGACAAGGGGTTTCCCTTTGTCCCGGGTCACCACGCAGCCAAGAGCCATCAGTGACACAGAGCTGCTTACCAAGACAGCAAGAAAAGTGAGGCTCAGCACAGAATGTGCTGTCCCCTCAGCACCATGTGTGCATGGCCCACTGGGCACCAGGAGCCAGAGGTTCTTGACATAAGCCAAGGGGACGGGAAAGGAAGAATTACCCTCACGGAGGGAAAGATTTCACCTCTGCCAGTGACATTCTGCTGTTGTCACCGCCAGGCATAACATCACCCTCTTGATGTGAAATCTAAGTTGACAGTGATAGGGGAAAGGAGCTGAAAGGGCAGCAAACTCTGCCCAGCCCTCTTTGTAACCCCAAATCTCCCCCGGCTTCCAGTCTCTGCACGGAGTAGAGCCACTACCTCATTACCAGGTTACTAAGCAAGTAGATCTTCCTTTTCCAGAGCCATAGAATAATATTTTCCTGCAGTTATCCATCATTCTTGGCAACTCCAAGGAGGATTTCATTTTGGTCTCTGTTATATCATCATTGTTTCTGAAATGAGAAACACAAGAGCCGACACCTCCTTTGCAAAACAACACATGCAGCTGCAAGTTAGCAAAGCTTGAAGGGCTTCTGGTGCCAAAGTCTTCAAACTGACTGGAGGGGTATGGAGCCTGTGGCATTTCTAGCTGATACTCCTCTCTGTCCCAGGAAAAGGCAAGCACAGGGCTGGGCAGCAAGGCTTGGAGAAGGTTACTGCCGAGACCTGGCAGAAATGTCATCCAGCAACACATTTCAAGAAAGATTCATTCCCAAGCAGCCTGGCTCCATAATAAAAGTGTCAGAGCAGCTGACTTGCCTCCCCCCAATCTCATTGCCTCCAGATTTATCCTGTCTCAGGTCTCTCTCCCTCCATAAGCCAGCACGTGCCTTTCCTTTCAATAGGCTGGCACTGAAATTCAGCCAGCTGAGATTGTAGGAGAAAAGGGAATACAAGCCAGGTGAAGGCATTGTGGGGGGGAAAATGCTCAGGAGCCAGGTTTTCCTCTCATTTTGGCTGCACTCAGTTCTGAGAGGGAGGAGGGTGATGAGAGAGTTACCTTCATGTGAGAATGCTCCAAAACCAGAAGCCACATTGATTTGGCCTTCCAACCCAATTCCCTGGCTGGCAGGCTGGGGTGCCTCCCTCTCAGGAAGCTCAAATCCCATTCCTGATAAAACCCATCCCAGAAGGTGTGAATATCTCTGAGCCTTCACCCTCCCAGCCAGGGAGCCCCTTCTCAGAGGGCTGTGCACACGGTGGGCACGCAGGGAGAGGAGAGATGAGGCTCCCTGGGAGTCTCTCAGAAAACTGAGAACCTGCTTACCTTCACCACAGAGGTGGGACGTTAATGCAGCACCACAGGCAGCCCCTGAGAGAGAACGGTCTGCAGGGAGTTAAAAACAAAAAAACCAAACAAAAAAAAACCAAAACAAAACAAACCAAAAAAAAAAAAAAAGAGAGAGAGAAAGAGATATTAATGGTCCTTTACAAATAGCTAAAAATACCCAGAATAGCCAGAGTTTCTGTTGGATTTTTTTTTTCCTTCCCCCACCTGCTGCCCAAAGGAATGTGCCACACAAATTAAAACGATTTCCCTCCAACCTGCAAGACAGGACCAGGCAAGGCATCCTTCAGCTGTGAGTGAAAGAGATGGAGCCTGCCTTTGTCAGGAGCACGGCAGCCCCAGGGAGGTGAGGTGGGGGGGCCGGCAGATGTGGCTGCAGGGATCCTGCTGGATAATTCCTGGTAACTGGGACAGACAGGTCTGTGCCAGGCACCCAGCTGGGGTCCAGGGCGTGTTTCTTCAACACAAAGGAGACATCAATAGCAGAAACGAACCCTGGGCAGCTCAACTGCTCTGGGGGGATGCAAAGTAAGAGCAAATGCCTGCAACAGCAGGCTGTGGAACAGCTTTCCACAGAGCAGAGGAAGCCTCCACTACCACAAAGGTAGTCCTGTTAAACTTGCAAAACATGTTGCAGGAGGCAGAGGCCATGATATCTCCTGGATCTATGCACCTTATCACCCAAGGACATAATTTTCTGGCCCATGCCAGGGTATCCATTCAGGTATGTGGCCCAGCATCCATTTCCCCCTTTTAACTGAGAAACACTTTGCTTCCAGCAGTGAGCACTCATAGGCAAGGAAAAAAAACCCAAACCAAACCCACCCCCACCAGGCTCTAAAAGCACTGCTTTGCTGTGTCACAGCTGTTCCTCACATCTGGATGCAGACAGCGCTTAAAGACCTGCAGCTGGCACCAGCTCCTCCATTAGCATCTCCCCGTCCTGTTAACGCCAGGCAGGCGAGAGGTCTGGCAGCTGAGGTGAAGGGCCACTCCATCTCCGTCAGCTTCTCCTCCGCTAATGAAAATGTTTCTCCGGCGTGTCCTCGGGAAGGTTTCCTTCAGCTCTGGCCCCCGTGTGATTGAAGGCTAATCTCTGTTACTCCTGGCTGAATGGCAGCCCACGAGGAAGGTGATGTATTGTATTTCCCTTCAACTCGACACTTAGTGGTGCTGGGCAAAAACAAGAAAATGCACCACATGTTTTGAAATTCTAAGTGAACTCCTCCCGAAATGCTGAGAGAGGGCAGGGCAGGAACAGGGATCTCACAGACTGGGACCAGTGTGCACCTCTATAAATTCAACCTCAATTTGAAGGGCCACTTGATGTGCCAGCATCCTCCCTCCCAGAGCCACTCCAGCTGATGGCAGTGACCACAGGAGACAACATGTCCTGCCTCCACCCTGTGGGACAAGACTGGCCTCCAGTGAGCTCTCCAACATCAGTCTGGTCAGCACAGGGGCCTGGGAGAGAGGCCAAAGTCTGGAGTGCAGATGGTTTGGGAGGAGAGCGTGAGGGCTCAGCACTCACAGGTTTCTCTGGCTGGCTCCAAACCAGTCGCTGAAGCCCGAAGATGTAAAGTTTTCCAATCTGTGGTGTTAGCTTCCTTTTAAAATGCTTGAAGACCTCCTGATAAAAAAATGGAGAGAAAAAATTAGGGTTACAGTCTTCTTGCTGATATGCTGCTCACTCTCAAGGAGACACCCAGCTCCATGACACACTTTCTCCTCTGCTCCACAGCTCTGCAGACACACTCCAGACCATCCCCACCAACTGCTGCTCCCCTGCTCCTGCTGCCCTCACTGAAACAACTCAATTACCCATCATGGTCCTCTTCATCTGCAAAGCTTTGCAGCTTTTCTTCTCTTTTTTTTTGCTCCTCCAAAACGACCAGCATTTGCTGAGCACACACAAACACAACACAAACTCTCCTGTTTGCTTTCCCTTCTTACCGTGGACCACACAAAACGCATCCTCCAACAGCTAAACCTGGAGGAGGATAAGAAGGAGAAATTAAGAAAACAAGCAGGAGGAAAAAAGAAAAAAAACTTCCAATTACTGGCAATTAGTTCTACCTGATGCTCACCCACTGTGCCCCGTGCCCCAGACACAAATCACTCTGGCAGGTGGGCATGCAGGGTGGCACAGCACGTACCTGCACAAGCAGTGCACAGGTGAGCACACAAGCTGTTTGGTGAAGATATTCCAGGCTATTTGTTCACCCACTTGGGCACAAACGGCTCCAGCCTTTCTGAGGCTCTCCTATAGCCCAGCTAAATGAGGGATGGTGCTTTGCTCTGCTCCCATGAGCTGTAGCCCAAGCCGTGGGGCAGAGGCAAAGGCAGTTGTTTGGAGCTTAAATCCAGATGACCTGAGGGATGTCCATCCTCATTGCCACACCCACCTGCCCAGGTTTTCTGGCTGGCTTCTCCTCCCAGGAGGGATGCCAGCTACAGAGAGCCCTACGGGCTGACTGCTGACGCAGCTGCCGACGGCGCAGCTCCGACGGAGACGCCTTCCCCTCCACGGGAGGACACGCTCTGCTCCCAGCCAGGGGGAAGGCGGAGGCACCCACCACGCTGCCGCAGTGGAGGAGGCACTCAGCCAGCCACTAATGCTTCCTACTGTCTTGGAGCAAAGGGATGAATTAGCTTTTATTAGCTCTTTACCAAGAGCACATCACTCCTGCCCTTCCCTCCTCGCACAGGGCTCACGCACAGGCTCAGCTGTGCTGCAAGTGAAGCAGAACCAACTTACCTCGGTGCCGGCGGCCCCAAACTCCTCTTGGGTCCTGTATAAATCTTATACATCTTGCATCTCAGACAAGCTGGGAGATAGGATAGAGCAGTGCTCCCAAGGGTGCTGCAGGCGCTGCCCAGAAGTATTTTTAAAAAGATGGATACTCAGCTCTGGCATCCAGATCTCTCAGGTGGCACCAAGCACGGCACGAAGGAGGGCACGGTCTGCACGCCAGCAAAGTAGCATTGCCCTCACTGCTGACACCCAACTGCAGGGTTGCTATCTGGGGGGGGTGGCCTGTGGATTCCTGTGCCCCTGACTCCCAGCACCCAGCCAGCAGCACGGCTGAGGGATGGTGCTGCTCCAGAGAACTCTTTCCGAAGGCACTCTGGGGCTTGTTAGTGGGGTGATAAAGGGGATGAATGGCCTCAGAGAAACGCTCTGTCTCCTGCTGTGGCATTCATTATCCTTTAGCCAGACAATTCTTCACACCAGCCAGGAGCTCCGGGCTGCCTCGTTTATCCTCCTCCAGGGCTGTTTCCCTCAAGAGGCCGCGCTCTGCACTCGCTGGTCGCCCCAGGCAGCTCGAATGTGCCTGAGGAACCCACAGCATGGCAGTGGAAGCTGAGCTCTCCTCCTCCTGGGTAGTCTCCGAGCTCATCACCTTCCTCCCACACAACCAGCCTGCTTTCCCAAACACGAAATTCCGTGATCTGAGCCACAGCTGCCCCCCACCCCAGATCTGCAGGAAACAATTAGGCGCGTTTTCAGCCTAATTTCCTAAGAAGTGCAAAGCATATGCAATCCTGCTGCATCAGTCTGTCCTCTGCCCACTCCCCGGCAACTTCTGACACTTGAAACAGATTTCAGCCTGATGTGACAGAGAAACAGAGGTCTTGGAGACAGTCAGAGCCTATAAATTTCATGGGACTAGACTATCAGAGGAGAGACGTTATTAGCACCTTCCAAACTGTAGCGTATCATCCCTTATTAGACATCAGACAATCTGCGTGGGAGAGAGAGAGAGACTATAAATATCCCAGGAAGGGGAGAGGCTCCATTCAGCACAAACAGCTTACAAGACACCAGAGACTCCAAACCCAAACTGTATATCCGCAGGAGATGAGATTTCATGGACTCCACTGCACACAGTACTAGCTGGAGAAGGTTTCAAGCCTTTTTAGCTCACAGGAGAGCCAGCCAGCCGGCTAAGATGGCATGTCAGCCTTTGGAAAGCCCCTGGAAAGGGAATATGTGCCCTTCCCTTGCCCTTTTTCTAGTGACCAAGGCAAGGTCCTGCTGCATTTCCAACTTTAATTGTCATCCCACACTTATGGTTGAGTTCAGCTGCTGCCTAAAATGGAAGGGACATGCCCAGCTCCAAGGGGGAGCACTGACAGGCAGACCAGCTCCTTCTCTCCCACAACCCTCCCATTGCCTCTCTGCCACACTGCCAGAGATTTCACCTTCCAGCAAGGTGTTTCATCCACAGGCTGCTGCCAGCAAATGCCAGGAAGGCAGCCCAGAGTCTGAGCAGCTGCCCAGAGAGCTCTGAGCAGGATCACCCTCACATCAAGCTGCCCATTAGCAGGTTGGCTGATTAGTGGCACTCGTTGAGAGTGAGAGTTGAGAGAGAGCCTGTTCCTCCACACACAAGTCCTTGCTGTCCACCAGACCCACACACCAGCTCCCATATGGATCTGCAAGCTGGAGCCAGCACGGAGCTGGGAGTCAGCAGCACAGGTATCCTTCCCCAGCAGGACAGAGGGAGCCACAGAGACCCTTCCTCTTCCTCTTAAAGGCTGAAGGGGGCACAACAACCTCTTGGTTCTCCTTTGAAGTCAGAGTTCACATATCACACAGTGTGATACAACTTTTAGAGAACAACACCAAGAAACCATTGACTAGGGCTGCTGGCTGCCCTTCCTTGCTCAGCTCTTTTCAGTGACCTAATTAGGAGACCCTCGTTAGGCTGTTCCAGGGTGGAACCCAGAGATGCTTTTGCCAGGAACTCCTGTCACTCATCTTCCCTGTCTGATATGGGGAAGTTTAAGGGCAAGTGTAGAGTACCTGGCAAGGCAGCAAAGGTGACCAGAGCTTGCTGAGGCCGAGCTCAGCATTTCAGGGTTGTCTGACCCTGCTGCAAGAAAGCCAAATCTTATATGCAATCTGGGGACAGAGCAGGGATCTGTGCTCATTTGGGATCTGCACTGGCCCAGTCATTATCTGTTCACAGCGCCATTTCCAGCCTCAGGCCTTCCAGAGCTCTGGAAGTAACTGAGAAGTGAGAAACAGCCTTTTTTCCCTCCAGCTCACATGTGACACTGGCCCAGCTGGCCACATGCGTTTTGGGACTTGACTGATTCACCCCGTAAAGGTCAAGTCCCAGGAGGTGCCACCAGCCTGGTGGATCACGTATCACTTGTACCTGCGGGGCCTCAGCTCCACAAAAGGACAATTCAAACATGCACTACAGCACATCCCTTATTCCAAAAAAAAAAAAAAAAAAAAAGAGGATTTACACTCCAGGGGTGTTTGACTCCCTGTTCTGCCCAACAAAAGGAGTGATGGGGATTGAATCCAAGCTTATGTTCGTTAAAATAGAAGGAAAAAGAAAAAAGCCAGAAATCCAGTCACTCCATCCTAATTGTTCTGATCCAACCTTTCACAGTGTTGTATTGAGCTAAAGGGCCGCACCTGAAAGTGTGCCAAGAGCGGCATGAAATGTTAATGTTGCAATTAAAACAATATGAATATTGCAGCACCGCTCTGCTGCTCCCCATCCACTGAACAATTCTCATTCAATGGAAGTCAAGTTACATTTCAGGAAATAATGAGGTCTTCTAATTAAGTCTGGCCTAGGAAGACAGCAGTCTTAAAAGGAGGAAGAAAATATTCACATCTCCCCAAAATGTGTACATTTGCTGCTTATTACCTGCAAAGGGGAGTCATTAACGCTGCTCAGTGCCAGGATCACAGGTCACTGCCATTGTCTTATTGCACACATCTAGAGGAAATTCTCCTTTTAATGCTAAAACTCGTAAGTCATGACCTGCCTTGTCCCCAAGAGCTGAGCTGGGAATGCCGGGCTGGCACATCCCATACTCTGAATGCAGGGAGCAGGTACCTGACAGTGAATGCCAATCCCAGGCTGGCCTGGAGAGAGGCAGGCTGGGGCTCTGGGGGGCTGAAGGCAGCAGATCACATTCAGCTGACACAGGACTGATCCCAGACTGTGCACAGGGAAGGGATTTTTCCTCCCCAGCTGTCCAGACAACTGAGTGACAGCGACACTGGCTTGAGCTGGTGGAAGCCACAGGGAAAGGGACCACTGGGTCAATCCTGGAAGGATAAAGACTAGTCAGGATCATCACTGATGTTTTAAAGTTTTAACTTCAAAAAGAGGCAACAGAGAAAGCCCCTCTTCCCGCCCCCTGCATCCATCAGCTGCTGTCCGAGACACAAGCACATGTTGCCATAACATGAGGGCACAGAACAGCCTGGAAACCAGAAACATCAGGTCCAGGGGTCCCAGAGGAAATTGATATCAACACACTGCACCCATAGCTTCCCTGTCTTCTTGACTTCCATCATCTTCCCAAATCCCTTTACCCATGACAGTGGTTGGGGCTGCCACTGTGTCTCCAGGGTGCTCCCCAGCCCAGATAACTGCAGGGGGAGGTTGGGGCAGGGAGGGACCCTCAGCAGGAGGATTTCATGGGAGGAGCGAAGGTTGGGAACAGGCCCTCCGTGTCAATCCTGCTGATTTGGCTGCCTTTTCTCTTTCTCAGAGTTTCAGGAACACACAGGAACTCCTCATCCTCCAGGCCTGAGCTCTGCTGTCAGACCCAATCTTACTGACCAGCATGGAGTTGTCTAGGAGACACAGAGCACCTTGTTGTGTGAAGAGGAGGTTATATCAACCCAAACCTCCCCAAACCCTTCCCTAACCTACTTTCCAAAAATCCAGAAGAAAATTCATCCAATGGAGGGGTGAGGGAGGGCACTGGAGTCGTGGTTCATTCCCTGCCCACTGCTGACACACTGAACTTCAGCCTGTCTTTAATACAGACAACCCTCCTGGTAAGATCCAGATGGAGACTGAGCCACACTGACCAAACCTGGCAACACACAGAGCCCAATGAGGGGGAGCTCAAACCGCCAGGAAGCAAACACATCATTTGAAAGAGGAGAAAAATCCAGGTGAAAAGATCAGAAGGGACCTTCCAGGTCCTGAATTGTCCTAAGGGACTTAGATATCACTTCTATATCCATCTGTTAGAAAGAAACCTATTTGGTCACCAAGGCACAGCCAGGGGATGCCCCTGCCCTGTCCCCACCAGCAGCAGCTCACTGTGGGTGGGTAGGTGGTCTCCTCCCTCCAGGCCCCTTCTCACTCCACTGCCAGACAAACCAGCACTTGCAGCTACCAAGTGTCTGTTCTGCAATAAAGAGCAATAAACATGCCAGAGTAATTAATGTCTTAACAACTTATTACAATCCTCAGATAATTAATCACAAAAGCTAAACATGCTGTCTCACCCTCCTAATGTGTTAATGCTCTAATTATTATGCCTCAATTAAGGGAAAGTCAGCGCTCCTTGCTTGGAAGTGCATGTTTAATAAGGGTGCTTGAATGCAGGCAAGTCAGAGTGGGAAGCGAGGAAGTGATGGGGGTTAAGGAAGAGGACACCACTTTTAATGAGGTTTCATGGGTGGCTCGAGGCAAGGAATTGACAGCTCCTATCTGGGATCTCACACAAGACTGCACGGGGAACCGGGGGCCATCTGCGGTGGCTCTGCGGCTTCCCACTGGACTATTTATAGGAAAAACAGCGCATGGGACACAGGGGAGGCAGGGACTGGAGATGAGCAGTTACACTGTGGATCTGGCCAGCACTAGACAGCAGAGGTGGCAGCTTGAAGAGCAGTCACTACAGGAGTGGTGCTCTCTTCTATCCAGCCCACATCATGCTCTATTCCCAGTCACACCAGCACGTGCCAGCACTCCTGTCTCCCATAGAGCATCCCTGCTGTCCAAGCCTCTCCAGCCAGCCCTGTTTCCTTGCCCCCAATCCTGCTACCTCTGGGACACCCCACAGAGATGATAAGAACAGCCCCCAAAAACCAGGATAGCTCTTGGGATGGGACATACCAGCTCATCTGATTTCAGCCATTGCCTGGGGGTTTCCCACAACTCCTTGTTGCCTGAGGGAACAGAAAGCTGTGTCTCAAAGAGCACACCATTAACAAGGCTTGGTTTAAAGGTGGGGCAACCACTTGTGGTGGTTATTGCCACTGAATCTGCCTTCCTGGTGCCTGGCTCTGAACCCTGTTGGATGCTGGGAAACCTCAGAAAGGGGTTCTTGGTTGTAAGGAGCTTGAGAAGACCCTAACAGTGAATGTAGGGCCTGGACCCCTCACTGTGTGATAGCACTCAAGGCAGCTCTGCACCCACGTGACCCTTGTTCTTTGGAAAGACTTGTGGTACAAAGAGTAGCCAAGGCAAAGGTGGCATCACCACCATCCCACACATCCCACCCTGCAGAATCAGTGACCCTTCAAAGCAGCAGGCATGGGAAGCTGGGACCAAGATAACCAGGCTCCAGATCTTGGTACCATACAAGAAGCACAACAAAAGAATGGCTGGAGCCCAAGTCTCCCAAACAAAGACTGTAAAATCTTTTATTTTTTCAATAAGAAGCTTTTGAAAGAACTCCTCCGCTCAAGTGGGTCTTCACACACAAGAAAACTCTCCCTGAACCAGCCCGGTTTCTGTTCCATGCAAGCTTTTTTTTAAATTTCTCAGACAAATGAATCACCAGAAGCATTTCTAGCCTAGGTTTGACTGGAAAACGATTGCATTTCCTTAAGAAATAACACACTGTGTAGGTTTGGATGGTTTCCTCTGAGGAATAAGGGAGAGGGAATAAGAAACAAAACAAAGTAAAGCAACCTGGAGGGGACATGAATTTTAAAACCCATGAACAGTTTTAGTTTTCAAATAATCCAAATGAAAAAAAAAATGTTTCACATAGTCACAGAAAAATAATTCTGTTAGCCGGGTTCTTTGGTGATGTCTCATGAAAAAGAAAAGAAAGTTCCCCACCTCTGAGGCAACAACCTTGACAGCAGCTTGACTGGTGAAAAGGGGCTGATGCCTCCTCACAGAGGCAGCCTGTGGATTCCCATGGGGATGAGGCCTCAAGAAGAAGAGCTTTTTGAGCTCTTGGCCTCCCCCCATGCTGCTTTCCATTCCAGCATCGGTCTTGACCTGCCCAGACTCTCCTTCATCTCTTTGATGAAGATGACTTCAGACATCCAGCTCTAGCTCTCTGCACTGGGCTGGAGGCATCACAGCTCCTTATCTGAGCAGCTTCACTTTGTTCTGTGAGCTGCTGCATGGACATTCCACAAAAACCCAACCTACCCTGCCAAATCTGACCATCCAGGACAGAGCCATCAAAACCACTGAAGTCTGAGCAAACACAGCCTCATGAGAGAGATATATAAGGGATGTGATACTTCTTGAGGAACCAAAGGATCTTACTGCTGTTGTTTTCACTGACTGGTGGACTGGGAGGTTTTCTATGGATATTGGCATCTGTGTTGTTCATCTGTGCTGAAGATGGCTGTGCTCAGAGATGAGACTGTTACCTTCTTTCTTTCCAAACATAATCTCCAGTTCTCTCAGGCACTGCAAGGAAATGGCTGACTGCTTTTGTACCTCTCCCTTCTCACCAGCAACATCAAATCAGTGGTCACCTGAAAATATGGGGCATTGCTTCAGTTCTGGGGCTAGAAATTTTGGCTTGGTTATACTGGATTTGACCTATTCCAAAGTGTCAACTCCAGTACCAGGAGTTCTGGAGAAGTTGACTGGCTTATGTTAGTAGGCTGTGGGGTTGGAAGAAGCTGTTTACCTAGAGGACTGCCACAATACACAGCTCCTGTCCCAGGATATTTTCCCTGGGATGCTCTGGGTCCCTTTTAGCCTGTACCTAACGAATATGAGACCAGGCATCAAACCTGAGCCTTGCTCCAGGCACAGTAGACCTATATGCCCAGTAATCCTCACTCTGCCCAACCTGGGCATGCTCCCATTACCACTGGAGTTATCAAACAGATACCCCATGGAACGACCATCACACACAGCAGCATCGCTGCTTCCCAGACAGTGACAGTGTACCCGAGTGGATTAAAGTGCTGGAGCACAAAGCTGGTGGCACTGAAGCCCAGGTGTCCCAACCCCAACCTCACAGCCCCCTCCAGCAAGAGCTTTTTGAGCTCAGCTTACCCCCTCCCTCCGCCCACTGCCTTTAAGACAGCGTGCAGCACGACAGCTGGGAAACCCAATCTGGTCCAAATTTTGTTACAACCCTGCTGGTTTTTATCCTTGTTTACCAGCATTAATTTTAATGGCTTTCCCTACATTAACTTTGTCCTGAATCAGTTGGAGGAAAATTCCTACTCACTTGCCTTCTGGAGAACAGACTGGGTAATTTTCCCTTGTCATTTAACAGCCCGCCTGGGCTGCTCAGGAATGACAACCACACTGTGTACTTTGTGGAGGGCAATAAACTTCCCAAGGCCGGGGGAGGAGGGTACATATCCCTAATACACTGTCCCTTCTTTGTTCAGTTTTAGGGTCTTGGCTTGTGCTGGCACAGCAAGTGGAAATTTCTTCCTCCTGACCAGATGCTGCGAGTGTGGTCCCACTCCTTTCTCCAGCTCACAGAGAGGTGTGATGGCTGAGGCCACGGGAAGGAAGAGAAACACTCAGGACTCTTTCAGTAGCTTTACATTCCCGTTACAAAAAACAGGGCAACAGCTCTTTCCACCAAAGAAATGCAAGGGTTCAATTTAGGCATGCTTCCAAAGTTTTCTGTCTCTGACAGCACAGAAAAGGAATATGGTGAGAGCAAGGGAAGCTGTTTGATGTATCACATGATGCCCATCCTTTAAAAGTACAGATGTTCCCTCCATGCTCCAAGGGACGATTTGGAAGATGGAGGGCTCAAAACTCCTGCTATATCCAACCACAAGCACCTGGGCTGCTGTAGGGAGAGTGTTGCCATGGAAAGATGAGGGAGGCAGCAGTGAGGTGGCTGGAGTATTCCTACCAATTACCACGAAGGATTTTGCCTGCTCTGCTGTGTTTCCTGCAAGAGCCTAGCAACCACTTCCAAAGTGTTACACACACATGGAGAAGGGTTTAGAGGGGTTACATGCCAAGGAAGCAGGCAGGGATGGATCTTGAGCAGGGACACACTGCCTGTGTGCAGCTTGGACACCTCAATTCCTGCTCCAGGAAGTTCATGCAGAGCTGCAGGCGGTCAGTGGATCACAGGGACACCAGAGCAGGGCGAGGCAGGGGGTGACATGCAGGAGACAGAGCCACAGGGAGGAGGAGACCTGAAGAAGGAACCAGAGGTCCCACCTTCACGGGGCAGAACAAGGCAGCTTGTCATTGCTCACTTCAGAGGTCCTGGATGGCGAATTCCTGTCACCAGCAACCTCTTCTACATGCAAGCAAACTTGTCCATGGGTTCACTTCAAATGTGTTGTTTGCACCAGGACTCCTGCTACTCTGCCCTACTAAAACAGAAGAAACAAGACTTACAAGATACCTTGCACTGAAAGAGTGAGTGACCCAGAGTCAGAGGCCACAGCATCCTACCCCCTTCTACATCCTGAAGTAATGAAAAGGCAAATACTCCACATGTGCCAGTCTGGCCTCTTTCACAAAAAGGGCACTACAAACTGACAAAGAACAGCTTCTGCCCATTCATTAAGTTCTTGGCATTAACTGATTTCTCTCCGACCAAGCCATAAAACCCAAAGCTGCATGCAAGCAGCATCCTAAAATATCCTTGTAAATCTCAACCACCACATTCATTAATTACAACCCAGTGATAGTTCAGGCCATTAGTTCTGGATGGTAACTTCATTTATTCCCACGTTAATGCTCGATGTCAGTGGTTATCTCATTACCACTCTATTACTTACCTACTTAATCCATCATTGCAACCCAGGCCAGAAGGGAGGAGCAGAGTTTGCCCCGTGTCTGTCAAAAGATGATGCATCAAGTGTAGAGCACCTAGAAATCACAGACAAAGCACTTCTAATCTGCAGCTGAGGTTATATCCATTTAAGAGGAGGAAGTGACACAGATGAGTGTTGTCAGGACCACAAACACGCTCTAGCATTGAAAAATTGTGGATTGGTACCTATTAAATCAGAGCCAAAAGCTTTGGTAAGAATGGAAGCACATATTAGCTGTTATACAGAAAAAATGACACTAACTCCACCCTCCTCCTCCTCAGACTCTCCTTCCTCCAAACCCCAGGTTAGATTCAAACAGTGACTGCCTGTTAAACAGTTTGAGAAGGCAGGTCAAAGTATGGGCACTGGGAGCTGCTACCTGCTGAATGCTCCAGAAAACACACAGGCAGCATTGCGGAAACCACTAGCCCTGAGTGTCAGTGCAAATACACCTAAAACATGGACAGATACAATAGTTCTTGGCATTTCAACATGTACCCAGCTGTAGTTCCTCTTGTGTGGTGAGCAGGCACTTCCAAAAACGTGCTTTATTGCACCTACCACACTGCTGCCTTTCCCAGGATTTACTCCCCCCGCTGAGCCAGCCCCTTGGGGTTGATCAGGGTATTCCAGCCCAGCAAGACCAGCGACTTTCCCTTTCTCGTTTCCTGCTTCTTCCCCCAAATACTCTTGCTAGAGACATCACTTCAATCTTCCCCTGCTCGATTCAGAGAAAGGGAAGCTGTTTTTATGTTGACAGGCTGTGAAACCAAGATGTGAGCTGGGGAAAGGTTCAGAGGGACGTTTCTCTTGCAGCAACACAGGTTCTTAAGAGCAAGCAAAGCAGCTCTGCTCTGCCCGGATATGATGCTCAGACAACAGGCAGGCAACTGTGGTTTTCACTGCTTCCAAGTGACATGATAAGGAAGGACTAAAATCCTCTAATGTGGAAGAAGTTCGTGCCACACAAGCAAGGTGGAGAAAGAAGACACAGCCCCAGGATGACGTCAGGAGTGAAACAGCAATGATTTCCTCTGTGATCAGTAAATCCCCAGCTAACGTGCCTGTGCTGGCAATAGCAGGCTCTAAATGGTGCTGTGCCAGAACAACTGACAGGGCAAGTCTGCAAGATGCCACAATCAGATGTAATTAAAACACCTTTGCTGCCCTGCTTTCCATTCTCTCAGCAACAAAATCCATTACAGAATGCAGTAAGAAAATGATTTAAAATGTCCCTGAAGCCAAGTTGTTGACACCAGCGTAGACAGATGGATTTTGATGCACCCTTGATTAAACAGCTTACTGTAGAAGGCAAAGAGGGCAGGAAAGGAGCTGGGTGATGAGCCAGAGGCCCATCCGAGAAACAGGGGTTTATCCTCCAGGGAAAGCAAGTGCTGCTGCAACAGAAAGATGTCCCATCAAGTAGGCAGAGGCTGAAATAGCCTCATACCCTTGGGAAGGAGGCTGCAACCCTCTGCTCCAGTGCCAGGCTCCTCCTTCTGAGCTTCCTCCTCAGAGTCAGGCTGGCAACACCACGCACATCACTGTTTCCTGATGAAAGGCTGTGGTAAAAGCAAACAACAGAAAGCCTCACACAGGGCTCAGCCCATAGCAGGGCCAGCAGTACCTCCATTTCCCATGGAGTTAGACATCTTGGTGGGATTCTCCAGGATGCAGTAGAATGCTGTCTCCAAGCACAGCTTTCCCCACAGGCACTCATAACATCTCTCTTCCTCCTTCTCTCACACACAGATGCTCTTGGGCTGATAAGGATTGAACTCTTCTTGCATAGAGGGGCAAAGATAAAGTCTCCTCCCTGGCCATCTATTTATATCAGGCTGGTAGGAACTCGTTATCTTTAAGATCTCTGGCAGGAACAGCTGCAATCAGCCATCAGGCTGGAAAGTCTTTAGGGGTGGGCAAAAAGGAGTCAAAACCACATTAACCCTGTTTTCTCAGGGGAAGAAAAAGGCAAGAAAGAAAGGGTGTTACAACTGAGTGTGGGCAGCTGCCCTGTCCAGCTCTTAGAGACCTCAGAGAGAAGAAATCCAGGTGGGACAGCAGGTCAAGCACAGCCCAGGAGCTCAGAGAGCAACCTGAAGATCACTCAGAGCTGAGCTGAAACACCTTGAGCAAGCACAGAGGTGCTGCAGGCATAGGTGTGGGTCATGGAGCTACACAAACCAGTGACCACTGCTTACCAATCCTGTGTCATTCTGGCCTGCTCTGGTGGCCAAGAGCTCTGAAGTTGCTGTGACCTGGTAGCAAAGGCTTCCAGGCATGTCCCACAAGGAAAGGGGGCTTTCCCATCAAATATTCCTCAGGCTTTCTGTACAAAAATATTTGACAGAAGATTCCAGACCAGGAAGGAACTATAAGTCAGAAAGTATAAGATGCTCAATATCACCAGCTCCTGCAGTAGGAAAGCCCCTGTTTATACACAACATTCATATCTCTCATTACTAACATACATCAGATGGTTCAGATTTCCCCCACTCCCTCACGTGGCCTGAAAGAAACTGAAGCAAGCAGCAAGAATCCCTGCCTAGTATCCACTTTATTATTTTTCTGGGACTCGCCTGCGAGTGCCCTGTGCAAACGTGACACATGGGAACCCTAAAAACCTTTGCTTGTTTTTATAGGCACTTTTGAGACTGAGTTGGCTTTTGGTCCCAGCTCTGTTCAACGCAGTGCTGGTTCATACCCACTGATCCTCAGATCTGCAAACAGCTGAGGGGCAGCCGAGCTCCCTTCTGAGTCATCAGAAATTCAGCCTCACGTTAACCAACGCAGGGCCCGGGCGCTGCAGAGAGCGCTGACTGCAGTTCCACCTTCCCTGCAGCCATTCAGTCTGGGCAGGGATAATCCTGTCTCCAGCAAGAGAGCACGTGTTTGAAAAAAAGTGTTCACCAGGGCATTTCAATCAACAATGGTTTTAAACGCTGTTTCACACCCGTGAAAACACAATCACGTCTCCAGAAAGAGAGAGGTGCCCTTCCACGGGGCATCACAGCCATTTGTAGCCCCTCGTTTTGCACCTGGGAAAGGAGCGGGGGGGGGGATTCACCTTTATTTTAAGGATGCCTCAAGCAAAGCCTCACATCTCTTGAAACAGGGCAAGAAGGTCACATTTTACTGCTTAGCAGCTTTCCTCTCCCAAAAGTCACCGCCCAAATCTTACCCTGGCTGCGTGGGCATCTCACACCAAGCCAAAGGAGCCAAAGGTCCTTGCCTCGGTCTTGGACTGGCCTTTCAGGAGCTGACAGCATTTTATTCGCCCTGCAAACAAGACACATCGGTTGAGCACTCCCAGGGAAGTAGCAGGACCAGAGCGAATTCCCAGAAGAAGCTCTGGCAGCGTTCCTCCCGCTCCGTGGCTGCGAGTGAGACGGAGTGACGGAGCACGACACATGGAGCAACAGAAGCTGAAGAACGCACGTGTAACTGCAAGGAAAATTAACAATATCGAGGGGGAGGGGCGGGAAGGGAAAGCACTTGCTAACAAATATTTATTAGAACACAATCTTATCCTCATCTGACCCTACTTCTGATTAAAGAAACCCAGACAGACTGGCATCAGTGCTGGGGCACTCAGGCAGCATCTCTGACCATCCGTGTGTGTAATTGCCCAGGAGGTCCCACAAACACCCCCTTACCATCCCCTCGGCAATCTGAGATGCCTCAGCTTATGTCACCCCTCCATGGCAGGGGGCTGAGAACAAAATGATCTTTAGGGTCCCTTCCAAGCCAAACCATTCTAGGATTCTATTTTAAGGCCAGTCAGCCCCACTCTGCAGACTCCCAGAGTCCTCTGACGTAGCCAAAGCATCTTCCAGTCTCTGCGGAGAGGTCCTGGATGAGGAAGTTCTCCATGCATCCAGCTCACCACAGCCTGTCTTGGATACAAAAGGACACTCAAGCCCTGCAACTTCCATAGATCTCCTTCCACATGTCCTCTACAGAGATCAGCAAGGGATGTGCTTCCCATCCTACCAAGCCAGCATGCTCCACAAAGAGGAGGGAGAAATCTGCTATCCTCAGTGGGGTTTGGGGGATTCCAAAACACTCTAGGTTAGGACCCAGGTGTGCCTGCCCTACCAGTAGCTACAGCACTTCACAGGAGCACAGGGAATCATAGAACCCTAGAATGGATTAGAAGGGACCTTAAAGATCACCCAGTTCCAACTCCCTGCCACGAGCAGGGACATCTTCCACTAGACCAGGGTTTAGGGACCATAAGTTGTAGAAATCTTGGAAAATCCAGGCATGTGCCAAGTGGTTTGACAGATTCCCGAAACATCCCAGCAAGCAACGGGCTTGGTGCAGTGTCCCCATCAGTCACTGGCCATTGAGCCTGATCCCACAGCATAGCAACATCCCTTAAATACTCTTTACATTTAAAAAAGAATGAAAAGCCAGGGCAAAAAAAAAAAATGCTGCAATGGAAGCAGAGAGTTGAAATTCAACCCCTGTAAGAAGCCCTAAAGACAAAAGCACATTTCACATTCTGAAATCTGTAAGAGAGTTGATTTTCTGTTCCTCAGCTTCAATCACCTCTTTGCTAGTGAGATTTGGCACTAGCCCAGGTCTCCTGAGGAGGCAGAGGCAAGGATTTTCCGAAGGATTTGTCACCCACATCTCCTCCCGCAACGCTTCCTCGGGGATTTTTTAATGAGCGAGGCCCTACTTTGGAAAAAAAAAAAAAAAAGCCTTTAAAAGATGAGGCCATGCCCACGAGAAACCCAAGAGCAATATTTCTACCTCAGCCCCAGCTCCAAGCCCACTGTTTGCCTGCAAGCCCTGCTGCTCCACCTGCTTAAGGAGGATGTTTTCATTACTGTTCAATTTGCAGTGAGTTGAGCTCCACGTCCTTCATTGGATTATTTTTATATTTAATGTCCTCTCCTCTTCTCCTCTTCTTTTTATAGACTGGTAATCCAAGTCCCTTGGCAAGGCTGAGTAATCTCAATCAGATTTTAATCAAAGTAAGCCAGATCCTCAGCTGCCAGTATTGATGCATCTGCCTTTAAATATCTGAACGATGCTGATTTACCCCAGCAAGGCCTGGGCCCCATCCACTCAGGAAATTTAAATTCCTTCCTATGCATCAAGCTAAAACAACAAGGCAGAACAAGCAACCTGCTGCGAAGGGGTTTTAGTTTATAAAACCAATACCCAGGATTTCAAAACTAAATGAAAATCTGAGATAATCCCTCCCCAAATCCAGCCTGGGAAAAGCGCTGTGGACAGATAAGCATCAAGTAACTTCTTAAAACACACTTTTTCCTCTTGTAAAAGCTTTCATCAAGTCAGAGCCAAAGGGAAATTACCCACCATGCTTCATTCCTTGACATGACCCAGAGAATTCATGTTTTCCACCCATAGAAAATGCATATTTTACCCATGCAGCCTTTTCCAGGATGGACCTGCTTCTGCTTTGTTCAGCAATGACCTTTGTGTCACTGCCAAACCCCAGCATCCAAAATCAGCATATTAGTCGGAAAATAATGAGATTTCTGGAATACAAAACGTTGGCTCCATTTTCCTTACCTTCAAAGATGATATCTGCCAGCTTCCCTCCACAGATTAGAAAGATAAAAAAAGCACTTAGATGAGAAAGAGTCTCATCTAATCGCCTGACTCCAGGAGACGCGTTTGAGGTGGAGGCGGGGGCTGTCCCACGGAACTTGTCAGTGTTTGGACTGCAAACAGCGTCCAAGTGATGCCAGAAAGAGATGATTGTCTAAAATACACTGCTAAAGGCAAGGCAGCCCAGCTACACTGATTTACTTACTCATTTGGGGGTGAATCCTGAGAAACACTACGGATTTCTCAGGATCTCTGGTCATTTCCACTGACACAGAGGTTAATTACACAAAGCACACACAAGAAGTAACACCAAAGTATCACAGTCAATCTGCATTTCCATCCATGCTGCTGGAATGTTGTGAGGTCTTCAGGGCTTGTCAGATCCATGCTCTAGTTTAGGCCCAGTCCTGAACAAGAGGAGAACGACTCAAACATCTCAGTCCCTCCTTCCCCCAGGAGGTTGAGGGTTCCTACTCACCTCTTCCAGCTGGGCCTGCCCTTCCTTCCACCTCCAGCTGTGCTGGCTTACAAGCAGGCAGGCTGGGATCAAATCCTTCCCTGTTTGTGACTCTTATCTGCCATCCTGCTTCACAGCTAGATGCCTCAGTTTTGCTCTCCACACCCCAAAGTCAAGATGGAGGAAGAAGAGGTCCAATGAAGAGCAGCTGAGAGAGCTGGGGTTGTTTACTCTGGAGAAAAGGAGGCTCAGGGGGCACCTCATCACTCCCTACAAGCTGCCTGACAGGAGGTTGTGGCCAGGTGGGGGTCAGTCTCTTCTCCCAGGTAACAAAGGATAGGAGAAGAGGAAATGGCCTCAAGCTTTGCCAGGGGAGGTTTAGATTGAATATTAGGAAAAATTGCTCCACTGAAAGGTTGTTCAAGCACTAGAACAGGCTGATCAGGGAAGGGCTGAAATCACCATCCCTGGAAGTATCCAAAAAACATGTGGATGTGTCACTTGGGGACATGGTTTAGTCCCCAAGACTCTTGGGGTCTTGGCTGAACTTGATGTCTTTTCCAATCCAAATGACTCTGTGAGTCTATAATCACCCTCTTGCAAGAGCCCAGCCCCTCAGATCCACATCATGTCCTTTTTGCAAGTCCAGTAAAACTAGTGACCCATTCAACTGAGCAAACACCACAGGGTTAGATGCTGCCCTGCAAGGGACAAAGCCATGGGACAGTGTCACTAAGATGTTATTACTCATTAAGGGGACCAAAAACAAGCTGAGCCTCAAAAAAACCTGAGTCAGCTGATGGTTGTGAGGGGAAATGACAAAGGCAGAGCTAGGGATGAGGAAAGAGCAAGGACCTGTTTTCTCTCCCCATGGCTCCTCCACAGTTCTGTGAGGAGAAGAGTGCTCCAGGGGACACAACATCATCAATTGCTTCCCATAGGGAAGGAACATTAAACAGGCAGCAAAGGGACCAGTGGCATGGCCAGGGACTGACCTCAAACCATACCCCATGCAGGGGTTTCAATCCAAGTCACTGGTGGCTCCTCCAGTCTCTGGACACGCAAGACAAGGGTCCTGCGTGGCATCGATCTGGCTGCACACAGACACTTGGGAAAGCCATGGCAAATCATCCAAGGTGGGACTCAGCACAGGATGCACATTAACAGGCACATTAAAACAGTCTCATGAAGGGAAGTATACGGAGGAGCATCTGCAGGGGGGGTTAACAAGCTCTAGCTCCTGCGAGCAGCCAGCACTTTTTGTCCTTTCATATTAGCTCACCCGAGCATCCCTGATCCGAGACGCAGGTTCCTATGACAGATGGCCTTATTAGTGCCCCTGTACGGTGACAAGGAGATCACAACAGGTGGCCCAGACAGTAACTGAAACACTTCACCCCACTTGCCCCAAAACAGGCTCAAGATCACGCCAAGGGCAACCAGGATCAAAGCACAAAGGCGATGTCATGTGTAAGTAAGCCCAAATTACCCTCACGTGCCTTCCACACTGTTGTGGTCCCCAGCTGGAACAGGTTGTCCAGTTTGGGATGCTGATCTCCCAGACGGTGTGAACAATTGGAGACAGTCCAGAGGAGACAGACAACAGTGACTGGAAATCTATAGGAGATGGTTGGCAAAGAAGGACGGAAAGCATTTGTGATGCTGAGCGTAGAGAGGATGGAGACATGGTTACAGCCTTCAGACAAACAAAAAGGAAAGGGAAAAAAATACCCCAAAACAACCCCCAACCTGTGGAAAGGACAAGAAGTCCTGAGCTTAATTTAAAAGAAGGAACCTTTCAGCCAAACATTAAAAAAAAAACTTTCCAAGTGTACAGACAGCAAAAGCACCATACACTTGTCAGAACTCCATTGCTTTCTTCAAACATCCACTATTAAATTAAACCCTTTGGGCTACGCTGCAGAAGACCCCATAACTCAGCCACAAGGCAGTCGAGAGAGTTACGAGCTCATTCTGCACCGTGACGTGGGGAATGGATAGTCCAACGCCAGTGAAAAAGAAATTAATTTCCAGCCCATCATAAAAAACACCAAAAAAACAAAAAGCCACACAGCAGCTGCTGCTCAGAGGGACCTTTAAAAACCCTTCCAGTGCCAAAAGGTCAGTGAGGGAGGGAGCGGGCGCGTGCCTTCCAGGGCTGGCAGGAGCTGGGGAATGGAAAGGAAAAATCCACAGCAAAGCTGGGCCTGCTG